TGGAGGAGTACCTGGAGAAGTTTCTGTTTTGAATGAAATTTGTGTTGTTGTTGTTCTTATGCAATGGGCATGTTTTTAATTTTTTTCTGCCTTAGCTTATATCAGGAGCCTGTGCTTGTATGCATTTTTCTTTTCTGCATCTGATTCTGGCTGATATGCATCAGGAAGGAATTTATGCTGGAGGAAGCGTTGCTCGACTCGGCTCCGGGTAGCTGCAAAGGAGACAAGAGACGGGACAACATCTTCGTTACAGTTTAATCGGGGAATCCCCCTCGGATATTATCCTACAAATTATTATCCTATAAGATGTAATAGAGTTTCGAAGAGTCACTCTACTCGGCTTACAAAAGATGTTGCGGAGACGTCGAGATTCATGAACGACCATAGATAGCTACAGTGATAACACTCAGGTAAAGATATTCCTCTCTCTCTAAGATCCCCGGCTTTACCCACCTTTCTGGCATTTTTGTTTTCCTTTTTGCGATGAGATACGCCAGAAAATTGCATTTCGCTTAAAACTAAGATGCTACTTCATTTTTATATTGATTATGAAAACTCAAATGCAGTCTTAGTCCGCTCCAGTTTCTTCTTTTTTGTATTTTTCAGTTCTTTTTGGCTCCCTCAGACTGACAAAATAGTGTTGTGTGTGTGTGCAAAGTTTCATTTTAAACCGCGGAGTGTAGAAAGCAGATTGCTTGGCTCCTTGCACTTTTAAAATACAACAATCGCTTTTGCAATTTCGTGGAGATTGATATCTTTCTCCAAACAAAAACTCCGAATCTTATTAATAATGCATGCTGATTGCCTGAATAATTTATTTTAGTGAAGTGATTACTGCACAGGCCCCGACATCATCCATGTTTCTGAATATACGTATTTTTTATGTTCTAATGCACTGAATTTCCTTTATTTCCCTCTTGCCCATTTGTGTTATCTTGCAGAAAATCTGGCATTTAAGTATCAATAATTATTTTACTATGTACTCAGTTTGTTTTATATGTTTCAATAGTATCTAATTTGAATTTAAAAGACTTAAGATATTCAAGCAAAACGTGTTCATTCTGTCACAAAAAGCTGCAGCATTTCGGCCAGCTACTGGTTTTTACTGGAGAACTGTCTTTTAAATTTAATGTTTCAGCTGAATCGTCTGGAGATGCGAGAGGTGATCCAAGTTTTTCTTTCAACTCCTCTGCCATAATGTAGAACACGTTGTCAACGTTAGTTCGGTCCTTTGCGCTCGTCTCGATGAACGAAATATGCAGTCTTTCCGCGAAGCTTTTCGCCACATCATATTCAACCTGCCTCTTTCCTAGCAAGTCACATTTATTACCGACAAGCAGTTTATTCACTCCTTCGCATGCATAACGATCGACTTCCTCCAACCATTGATCAATGTGCAAATAACTTTCCTTTTCGTTAACGTCATATACCATTATAATTCCATGTGCGCTTCTGTAATACGCCGTAGTAAGCGTTCGGAATCGTTCCTGACCCGCCGTATCCCAGATCTGTAGCTTTACCACTTTTCCGCCGACGTTTATTGTACGTATTTTAAAGTCAACTCCTATGGTACTTATAAAGCTCTCTGTAAACGTGTCGTCCGCGAAGCGAATCAGGAGACATGATTTTCCTACTCCAGAGTCCCCAATTAAAAGCAGTTTAAACAAGTAGTCATAATCTGGGTTCATGAGTTCAGACAAAAAATACCTGAATTCACAGGTAAAATTCTCTGAACTCCTGAGAAATATCCGAGAATAAATTCGTTTTTCGCCCCGTGTTATCGGTGGAAAAAATATGAACTAATTTCCATATTTATCGTTTAGGAAAAGCAAGCTGGATAGACTACCTGCCAGAGGCCACCATGACGTCAGAATGGTGCTGTTGCGCGTGCCTTGGATTACAAACCACGCGCGGGCACTTAGTTTCGGCAGGGTTGATAAGCTGTAAAATAGACGTTTTAGACTACAGAACAGCCCGATTTTTGGCGCAGATCAAGAACGCACAGGCACAAGCGAACAAGGCGTGAGCTGTCAAGAGAAAGTTCTGCAGGTCTCAGCCGGTGGAATCAGTCAGGCAAGGGGCGTTTAAGTCTCCCGCGCGTTACGCGAGAACCTCATGCGGGAAGCTCCCCCGGCCCCGTCCCCGCTCCAAAAAAGGTTTTGAGAAAAGACTGACTGTTTTGCAGTCTTTAGCTTTTCATTAGCCTCCCACGCAGACGTTCTTAGGGGTTAGTCACGCGTTCCTGTCCCACTAGTGGGGCAGGAACGCGTAACGAACCTTAAGAACGTCTGCGTGGGAGGCTAGCTTTTCATGTGTTTTACAGGCAAGTACTAGTAAGAGAAGCGAAGTTCCAGCCACCAGCGAAGTGAGAGCTCACGCTTTCCTCGTGTTTCGTGAAATGTGACCTCACGCTTCTCGCCGATCAGTACTGGCCCCCTTTTTTATGATCCTATTAAGTTATAAAAGGTAAATGAACCGCATAGGGTTCAGAGGTTATGATAAGTTTGGATCCCAGAGCGTTTCTCTTGTGCATAACTTCAGTCAGGCGTCTCTGCCCTCATAAGTTTGGACAAGTCAGGTTTGGAAGGGTTTAACATCCTAATGATAAAGGAATTTTAAATTAACTGCAAAAACCGTGGACATCTGTATACCTGAACAAGGCTGGTATGGCCAGCCGAAGTATTGTTATGAAAATACAATACACGTTGTTCTGATCAGCTCTGCAGCACGGTCTTTGGACTTCTCGTTTTTGGTTTTTAACATCCTACCCCAGCAAAACAATTAGAGAAACTTAATCTCGTACTAAAAAGCGGGATAATTTGTTAATCTATTTAACATATTCTAAAAAGGAAGTTGCTGTTGGGGAAATAATGAAGTATTTCTTTAAAACAATTGTGTCCCTCCAAAAGGAAACAAATTTTTCGGCTTTGAGCTGTCACGCGATAACGCTATACACTTTGAAGATATCGCGTGACAAAGCTACTTTTGGTGTTCGAAATTTGGTAACCTGGCCTACAAAGCTTGCATTAACGCCTGGACTGAAGGCTGCTGCCTAGACTGCTTCGTTGAGCGCCAGTTCTGATCATTTCTACAAACTAACTGATGAGTCTGAGATATTGATGGTAAATATGCATTTTTATTATTTATTTCATTGATGAAAAGGTAATCTGTCGCTTAAAGTTTCGTTTTAACGTTGTATACATTGTGTATGTTTACAAACACGTTTGTGGTCGATTGATTGATCTGATCGATCGGTTTCATACACAGGCTACAAACAGCTTTATTCTTCGTACTTCTAAAGATAGTTGCGCGGGTAAAATTCCATGGGAAATTGCGTTGCTAACTTTCTTTATGCTTGATGTAGTGAGTTGACTTTCTTCTCGGATAAACTTTTTCAGCTGATGTCGCATATATACACTGGTACGTAAAGCCAGGTACAGATTGAGTGGCCATGCTGGTGTCGCCGTGTCGGTGCTAGTGCCACCTGCGGTTATTTCAGTAAAACTTTTACAAGTGTAATTTACCATTGCGAGTATTGTTTTCAGACGCAAAACATTATCTCTACTTGAAAAGCACACTAAGTCAAAGTTTTATTGAATTGACTGCTGAAAGGAAATAAAATTAGAATTTGACAGTATCACCCATCAACACTGTTCAGCAAAAATGAAATGAACAAGATTCAGTGTTCCATTTTAATGTGTAACTTTCCATATTTGAGTGGAGTCTTGAAAATTTCTCAGGAAAAATCTCTAAGAGGCAAAAATAAATAAATAAATAAAATAACAATAACATGACAGCCTGGGTGGCCAGCAGGGTCGTAACAGAAGCAATCTTTTGGCAGAGGTGCTGTGGAGCCAGAATGGCGGCTTCCTCCAATAGCGATAACAATTCTGCCAGCTATACAAAACAGCCAGCTATAAAAAATGATACTGGTAAACATGGTCATGTCAAGTTTTTTTTAAATTAATATAATAATGTTATTCATGTCAAGTTTAACCCAAGAATTTAGGTGGCCCTGAATTTATACCTGGTCACTCAGCCACACATCTGTAAAGGTCCTTAAAATATTTGTTGTATTTTGCCTTCTTAAAATTTGTGAATGAAAGAAGCTGAGGGGAGTACTGAAGGAATTGAGCGATGAGAGATAAAGTTATTGGCTCCTGCTTGTGTATAGTTCCTAAAATACTGTGATCTTGGGTGGTCCCTGAGAGATGAGCTTTAGAAGTGAGTGGCACACAAGCACAGCAATCTATATCAACAGCAGTGGTGGATCCAAGGGAGGGGACCACCCCCCCCTTATTTTTAGACTAAAATGAGGCCCAAAGGGCCAAAAAAAATTTTTTTTTGAGGCCGCGCCCTCCCTTATCTCAGGGTCTGGATGACCCCCCCGCCCCCTTATCTGAAGGTGTGGATCCGCCACTGAACACATTATTTTAGGTTACCTTAGGTAGGTCGCTACTCTTAGTCTTCAGAAGCGCAGAAGAGGCTACGCAAGCTCCTAAAAAGGTTTTGCAACAATGTAGAAATCAAATTGGCTTTTTCTTCATTCAAGGTCCATCACATGTTCAGCATATAGTTTCCTGTACCCTATAGTTTTGATCTCCATTCAGACATTGTCTACAAATTTTGTTGTGCAGGTTGTGATGCCTGTTACAACAGTGAAACATGTGGACATCTTTCAACGTGTGTTCATGAGCATCTGACTAGGGACAGGACCTCCAACATCTTTATGCAGTTGCAGCAGTCGGACAAGTGCCCCAAATTATGCTCTAAGAAGTGCTTTTTAATTTTGGATTCCACGCAAAACCAAAACCAGCTTTAGAAGTCATTTTCACTTGGAATGTCATTTGATTCACCATACAGTTCCCCTGGAAATGGCAATACCCACCATAAAAGTTCGCTGAAATTTCTGAGAATAAAGGAAAAGTGGAAAGATGAGTGGAAAAACGTTCTGTGTAGTAAATTTATGTGATTTATTTTTTTTCTTTGCTAGTTTTTAAATGTTTGAGATGACCACTGAAGTGAGTAAAACCACACCTTTTGAAGCAAGAAATGATGAAAACATTTACAGCACCACTTCGACAAAACAACACCCAATTGTGAGCCATGAACTCAAGAAATGCTTCACTAGAAATATCCCAAACCTTCGGGAACTGAGAGTGATAGTAACCAAACTTGATGCTGCAAGCATGATGGTGGCCCCATTGCCTGGAAGAGGTGGCTATTCTGTTCAGCCTCCTTCTGCAACAATAAACCCTTTGAACAAAACCCTTGTTCCTGGGGTGGGAAACTGCCCAGCCAGGAAGTCCAAAAGAAGTGCTGATGCATTGACTTGCTGTCTTGGTTGTATGGCTGGAGATCCATGCAAGAGAACCAAATCTGGAACACAAGGTGGACGAAAGTGTGGCAGGCCGAAGAATGTTGGATTAAAGAGGAAGTATGTCAGGAGATCAACAACAGCAGCAAAACGTCAGTCAGGTAAGAAAATATGAAAGAAATGTGAGGGCAGTTTCTAGTTGATTTAAGGTACAAATGCTAATTTGGCCTGAACAGAACCTATTATGGCTAGAACAGTGACATACACAGAGGTGAATTTGAAACAAATACGGTAAATATAGACTGAAATAGCTGCTCCCTCTCAAGGCTGAATCATTCAATTGAAGTGGTTTAGAATAAACCTCTTCAAAACTGAATAGTATACTTCCCTGTCTATGGTGATTCTACTAACTTTAGCCACCCATCCCAGCACAGTTGTTTTACTTGTACGTGAGAAAACCTGAAGAAATTTGTGTGGTGAAGAGAGAGTTCAGTCAAGTTGAGTAAGACTTATCATGTCACAACCGTGAATAAAAAATAATCCTCAGTCCCCAACAGGGATGTTAGGCGAGATCCATTAAACCACAAATATTGGACAAAATCCTGTCAACGTTGGGCCGGACTTCCTTTTTTTCTTGGCTATGGACCATATTTGCTCCCTTGGTTAGCTCAGTCGAACCAATAGACTAATTTCTATATATTAAAATTCATACTTGGCTCCGAGGCCTGGGGGAATAACACAAAAGAAATGCATTATTTATTGCTGAGCCTCAGGGTGATTTCTTTTGTTTTATTCCCTCAAGCCTCGCAGCCAAGTAGGAATTTTCAATGTATAAAAATTGGTCTATTTGTTTAGTTTTGAACTGAAATTTCCGGAAATTTTAGCGCTGGAATCGGGAATGATCAAATCGAACGACACGATCGGTTCAACCGATTAAAACGGTCCAATTTTAAAAGTTTGTTTTTTTCCCCGAAAATGTTCTATTTTTTCTTTGCAAATATTGACCTCAAATGTTGTCATTTCCAGATGTCTGGTTTGGAAGCCGCAGTAATCCAAGCATGGTACATCAGTACAGGTTTGATCCACAGAGGCGTTTTGGTGATGTGCCCTCTAGTCTCTCTGCTCCACTACCTGTGCATCTTCCAGTAGGTATGCAACTTGAACGAGTTTGTTCCAGTGGGGAAACTCTACCTGCATCATCTCCTGTTTGTAGTTCAACTGGGGAAGTTTCACCTTCTTTTTCTACAGCATCAGGTGGAAATTCATCAACAGCAGCCAGTATTAGTACAGGTTTTTTGGCTGCTGCAGCATCCTCTGTCGTCACCAATTCTAGAATAGCTAAGTTCCGACGATCTCATTTTCCTGCATTTTCTGCAAATGCTGCCGTCAGCAACCCTGGAGTAGCAAGCATAGAGCTTTCACAATTTTCTTCAAACCCAGCAACCACCGTCGCCAATCCTGGAGTAGCAATCTCACATCCTTCAACATTTTCGTCAAACCCACCTGTTGCAGTAGGCAATCCCGGAGTATCAAGTGTTCAGCTTTTAAATTCCACTCCAATGACAAATACTGCCTTCAGCAGTCCTGCGTTACCCAGCGTACAGCTATCGCTCTTTCCATCAAAAACATCTGCGACCATCAGCCATCCTCAAGTAGCAAGCGCACAGTTTTCGCATCCTGCTGCAAACACAACTACTGAAATAAGCAATCCTGGGGTAAAAAGGCTGCAGCAATCTCTTTTTCCATCTCTGCCACCACTTCCACTGCGGCAACCATATATTACGGCTATTCCTGTCTATGCCGACTCCTGTCTCTTGCCAGTTAATGTTCCTTATGTTCAGGTAAGCAATCCGGCTCTCATCCCTCCAGTAACTAATATGGTACACCAGCCACCTTTGTACTCCGTGATAGGGCATCCCTCCCTGCCTCTTCAGAACATTTGTCAACAACTTCCCTCTGTTGTCGTAGGAAGTGGAACTTTGAATAACAACCTACTGACATCGAGTGTGTCTTGTCTAAATTCTGCTTCACTTCAGATGCAAACACAGCATGGGAGCTACAGTGTAAACACCAGTACTGCTGGTAGTAATCTTGCGGAGGGCCAAGTTTCTCACGGTGCCAGTGTAGGGAGTCAAAAAGACAATGTTACTGCCTGTAATGACGCCAGTGTAGAATATACTGAAAGAAGCAGTATTGGGAGTGCTGTTCTCCAAAAGGACTGTGTTGGCTCTAATAGTACCAATGGTGGTCATCACAGGTACAATATTAGTGTTGGTACCAATAGTGCCAGTAGTAGCACCATCGGTACTCAGCCACAGTCTGACAGTGAAAATTTGTTTTCAATTTCTTCCCTGTTGCCTGAAATGCCAAATGAATCAGCATCCACATTGCAATGCTCGTTGCCGTTGGGAGGAAAAAAAACAGACCTCAAAACAGTTATAAATCTAGTAACTACGACGGACGTTGATGATTTTCGTTGGTTGACTAACGATCCAGTCAATTGTCGCAATAGCTTCGATATTCCGAAACTAAAAAAATTCATTTGTCATGAAGAAATGCGCTTGAAGTGTAAAAAAGGGCAGATGGTGAGGTCTTGTGAGAAACTACAGCAGTCCATTGGCACTTTCCAGGAGAACATCTCACGCGATACTAAGAAATATGACATGATCAAGAAGAAATTGCATGCAGATACTTCCCAAAAGAGGAGCGTGAAACAAGTAGAAACTGAATTGCAGGAACTTTTGACAGAGACGAAGGTACTCCGCGATGGCTTGGACGAACTTGAGACAAAGTGGTTTCGCAAAGAAGGAACACAATTAAAACGCTTCTTGTAGCCTAGAATCTGTGGTAATCCTCCTCAGCTTTGTTTCGTGAAAGATTTATTGGGTTGTCATCACATCCAACATACTCAGACCGAGAAGATAGAACCAACTTGCCCAGAAAAATAAATAATAACGTTCAAACTTGAACATAGCTTCGGAGAGGCCACTTCATCACAGTTTCAATCATGAATGTTCTTTTAGTATAGTCTTTTTAGCTTGGAAAAATCCGCGGTTCTCTTGAAAAGACCGCAGATGGTAGTCCAACTAATAATTCTTGATTTCAAGTTAAAATCAAGAATTATATTTTATATTTCTGTTGGATGAAGAACTGTAGGGCTAATGGAGTAGAGAAGTGATGACGTAGCCTGCGTAGCAAGCGTTTCCTCGCGAGGTTCATCTAGAAAACTGGGACAAGAGCAAAAAAAAAATGAATGACGGGGGAGGGGGAGGGGAATGAAGGAATCCGCTCTAACTTTCGCGCAATAACTCGATTGGAAACGCTTGCTACGCAGGCTAGTGATGACGTCACAAAAAACTACATTTGAGAAATTATGAGAAAGGTTAGCGTATCCACAACAAACAAGATAAAAAATATCCACCTGTTGGTGCAAATTGGTGGGGAGATATAAGCACCGTTACTTCGCTGACTCCATGTAAATCCTTAGAAAATAGGCCAGGATCGTTAACCGTACAGTCCAAGCCAATTTAAGAGGGATTTCCGTGAGGTCATCAGACCTTAAATATCTTCTCACCAATTTGGACTGACAGGCTGATTTTTGCCACGGGGGCTTTTTTCATCTTGCTCTTTCTGAATCTGTCAATCAATTCCGTAATTTCACAAATTTGAATTTTTGTGACGTCACACTTGTCTTCTCTATTAGAATCGTTCTTTAACTTTAAAAAATAAAGGACCTACTAAAGAACGTAAATTCAACAACCCTCTTGTCCATATGAGTTTATCGGAAACTTTAATTGCTCAAATTACTTTTTGAAGGTGAAAACAAAATGCAAATTATTGCCGAGTTTACTACTGCATGTGAAAAGAGTTGTTCAAACATTTAAATAATAAAAGAACTTTCTATGTTTATCCTGACTTCAAAACATATCTACCAGAACAAGCAAAATTATATGAACTTGTATGTGTTCACCTGTGAATTCTGATGCAAGCAAAAAGCGAAAAGTCGATAGTATCTATCTATCTATCTATCTATCTATCTATCTATTATCTATTATCTATCTATCTATCTATCTATCTATCTATCTATCTATCTATTTTATCTATCTATCTATCTATCTATTTTATCTATCTATCTATCTATCTATCTATCTAAAAATGGGGCGCTTACTTGAGAGCGGTCCTTAATACCATAGTAATACCGCTTAGTACCGTATTTACACGAATAAGCGCCGCGGCGCTAATTAACCCCCAAATGTGGCGCTTACTCGAGTAATTACTGTAATTGGTAACTTTAGAGTTTATTACATTTAGGGCAAATTGTTACTACATTAAGGACTTTACTACATTTAGGATCGTTTATTACTTAGGCCTTCTACACACGCACTCTCCCGCACTCTTCTAAACCATTTGTATAGCCCGCTCTATACAGAGCAGTGGCGGATACAGACCTTCGGAAAAGGAGGGGAGGCCGGTCATCCGGACCCTGAGATAGGGAAGTGAAGGCGCTGGTCCCCCCGCCCAATTTTTTCGGCCCTTTGGGGCTCGGTCTGGCCTAAAAATAAGGGGTGCCAGCCTCCCCGGGCCCCTCCCCTGGATCCGCCACTGCAGAAGGTTTAGAGCGTCTGTGACGCAGGCAATCCCCCTCGGTGCAGTGTTGACATTATGCATTCCTGTCTTTTCATTATTAACAATCAGCATTGCTTAGGGAGTGGGGGACAGCAGAAATAGGCTTTTACAAAAGTAACATTCCCGAGCTTTTATAAGAAATAGAATACGAGTTAATTTAGCAAAGTGTGTCTTCGCACTTAATTTGGTGAAGTGTCTCCGATGTTGGTTTTGACCAGGGCTGAAGTACTTTTTTGCGGTTTTTATGAGCCTGGACAACTGAAAAAATTGAACTTGGTCAATATCTACCTCCATCAATGTCTGAAAGGTCGCGCGTAAACGTAAAAGTTGAGCGACGTTCTTTTACGTTTACCCGCGACCTTCCTTAACCCATTCGCTCCTGGAGATTTTGCCGAAAAACGCGTTTTGAAGCTAGTCGAGTGGTTTTCTCGTCACTGTCCTGCTATAAAGAGCTAAAACTTACCACAAACCGGTTTACAGGTCGTACATTTCACGGCCTTCTGATCCAGATGCAAAATATCAGCTTGCGAAGTTCGGGCATGCGCTGAAAGCAAAATTTCGAGATTTTTGGGTTTAAAAGTGACACAGCAGTCTTGACTTTTACTTTTCGCTCTCTCTCCTCCCCTCTTTTTTCGCTTTTCTTGCCACATTTTTTTTTTCTCTTGCTGGGCATTTAGTAGGCTTCATTTTGGTGGGAATAGTTTTTAGGAAAGCTTTTAGGATCTTAGGATTAGGTGAAAGGAAAGGTAGGTGGGCAATGGAACAAGATTTTCATGGAGATTTTCAGGTCAATGCTACATGGTTTTTTTCCTCTTTCTCCGGTGTCCTTGACTGAATTGTGCTCATTCTGGTATGGTTTGAAAGATCTCTTCACTCTGCACAAGTTAGCGGACAAAGTTGTCCTTGACCGTTAAAACTGATGACGTCACAAAGGGTAGAAAGGACGTGGATCCGCACGGGCGGTTCAGGGGCGAATGGGTTAAATTTATCACTATCTTGTTTACGCGCTTAAAATTGACGTTTGTACAGAGGTAAAAATTACGCGACAGTGGAAATCCACGCCTTTTGTCTACGGGTAAAAAATTCATATGGCTTGAGTAATTTATTTCGCCAGCTTTCCCAATCATAGTAATCGTAATCACTTCGATGTTCTGGTTGGTGTTGATGTAATTGGCCAAAATGATGTTCGTAGGGCAGGAAAAAGTAAGAAAACAACAGAGACATCTGAAGTACACTGTTTACATGCGTTTTAACCAGTTTATCGAAATTATGATAAATTCCCATACAAATCCCAGGGGCACCCAACGAGAATATAGTTCAAAAACACTTAAACATAGCATTGTTAAACGTATTTTAGTATTTAAACGGTAGATATAGGCATATTTTTATCGCCTAAACATTTTTCGTCTGTTCGGATTTCCTATCTGAAAGTCTAATGATCCGAAAATTATAGGGATCAAAACTCACCTTTTCAGCCAGAAGAAAGGCTCCCGAAAATTCTAGATGACCTTTTTAGGGTAAAAATCCGTTAAAAATGGGCAATCATACCATTTTTCAGATATTCGAAAATCTTAGGAGAAGCTACAGCCTGCGAAGCGCAGACGTATTTCCGGTCGTCGCTTCTCTCCCTCCGAAAACCATTTTCGGAGGGAGAGACGCGACCACCGGAAATACGTCTGCGCTTCTCAGGCTAAGGAAAGGCAGGCAAGCAAGAAATTTTACAATAAGTGTTCCGAAAATTCTAGATCTCAAATCGTCTTCCGAACAGATATTTTCCGAAAATTGACGTTGGGTGCCTCTGAAATCCTTATAATAAGCCATTTCCGAGTTCCCCAGGGCTTCTGCATCAAACCGAGGTTGAAAGTGGGGGTTTTTGGGACTCGGAAGTGGTCTGTTTGGCTTCAAGGAGGCCGTTGTGAGCCTGGGTACCCAGTGCTCAGCAGATGACCTCTGAACACCTCTTCAAACACACTTCATGACTGGACAAAATATTGATCATTAAACAGAACTTGGCCCCACTTGATTTCCGTTGCAAACATTAGCCTTGGGATATATATTTATGAATTCAATCTTTTTTGCGATAACCGTGATATCGTACGACTGACAAAATTAAATAACTATAAACTCTTTCATGTACTACGCAGTAAAATAAGTTTATGCAAAACTGATTTATACGAGTTTCGAATGGTATTCACCCGGGGTACCGAAGCTTTTTAAGAGAAATCGGTGTCTGAAACAAATTCGAGTCTTCTTTCGAAAATCTGATCTGAGTTTGCTGTGTTAATTTTGAAAATCGGAGTTTGTTGTTTTGAAAATCTTTGTTTTTTTTCTGGAAAAAGGAGGCTGTTTTGAAATTTGAAATCAAAGTTGCCTTGAAAGTGGGCCTCATACAGACTTTGCACAGATGGTCGATCAAACTGCCTTTGATATTAAAAACGATAAAAAAGTATTCCATCTATTTTTTTTTAGGTCAACTGCTGCATTTAACGTTTTTTTTTATAAGTGACAAACTGCAAACAAGTTAAAGGTTAGTTATCAGAGACAATATTTTGAGGACCGTATCGAAAACAGAAGATTTCCGTCAAGAGAGCACTCCAATCCTTTACAAAACCAAGTGGCCCTACTAGCTCAGTCGGTAATGAGGCCTGCAGAGCGGAAGGACACGGCCGGGTCCAATTTCCGGGACTGTTCAAACGTTGGATTGCGCTATTCACCGGATAAATCACTATCTTGCGGATATAAGTATAAGGGAAACCAATTGTGCCATCTACTGGATAGCACCATCCACCAGTTTAAACAACTGGGACCAGACCTGTACTAAGCGTCTTAGGGTCGATTTCCACTGTTGCGTAATTTTTCCGTGCGAACGCACGTAAAATTTACGCGTGCAAATAAAATAGAGGCAATGCATGAAAGGCCAAGCTCCCTCACCCCTCGCTTGTCTGCAAGCGCCTTCTACGCAGGCTAAGTTAGTACTCCAGTGCTAAATACATTGATAATTTAAGAAAGTACGTTATTTTTTTCGAGTTTACAATCAGATTTCTGAAAGTTTGAGTACTTTCTTGTAGAGGAATCAAACTATCATGCTGACACACGATCGATCACTCTCACTCGCTTTACCTTACTTCAAGGTGGACCACATGTCGCTACATGTGGGCCAAAGTTCAAGTGAAACAATCTCCGATTCAGTTAAAAAAACAAACTCCGA